AAAAAAAAAAAAAAAAAAAAAAAAAAAAAAAAAAAAAAAAAAAAAAAAATGCGATGCTGAATCGTATGGTGTTTTTTTCGCGAAACAAATTGTAAATACCTATTAACATGACACTGCGGACAAAGTAAAAAAGATTTATATTAACCTTACATTTGTAACAGGTGGTGTATACATATCCACGATATTCGTGGAAGGACGGCTATCCGGATGCTCGTCAATGAGTGCAAATTAAAATTCTTCGCGTGACTGACACACAACATCCGTAAAGTAATAATGAACGACACGCATCAGGACACACATACCTACTTGATAATGTATTGTACATATACCCGTTGTATATAATTTTCGATAAACATGCGTTATTTATAGATATCGTTATCACACACAAAGTATGTGATGCTTGTATATAGTATAGGTGTATGGTGTATCTTGTTTCTTTCCTCAAGGAGAAAAGATAGATCGCGCATTGCTCGCCGATCAAGCGTTTCTCGGGACAGAGGCTGGGTATGTTTTTATGTGTATATACTTTGAATACCGCGATGACTCAACCTCGTTTCCTCCTCTCCTCTCTCTCTCCGACGCGCGGTATTATTTTACACCCTGGAATTCCAATTGCATTCAACCTCCCCGTATACCCGTGTGGAATATTTAAATGCCCCCCCCCTCTCTCTCTCTCGTTAAAATACTCGGTTGTTGCTCCTCTTCCGAAAATAATTCCGCGATTATTAAACAAAACAACCATCTCATTCGTGCAATTTACCACCAGTCAACTGTGAGGCTCGATATCACGCGCAAACGAGATTCACGAAGATGATCCACCGAGCGATACTCGCGGGGGGGGGGGGGAAACCACAGACTGTACTTTCTATTGAGCTCCTTGGATGCTTATCCTCTCCCCCTTGCCCGTGTGTCTGTGTGTACATATACACGTGTAACAAAAGCGACAGGAGAACGAGGACGTAGCGTGTGTATATATAGCGGGAGAGGGCCTCTTGATTATTTTCCTTTGCTCTGCTGCTCCTATATACACACACCGTATAAATATACATTTTGTTTATTTGCCCGTGAAAAGTCGTTGACTCTTGCGCGCCCCGCGATGCATATAGATACACGCACGATAGTGAGGTTGTGGGGCGAGGGAAACTGTTTATAAATAACAAGTGATTAGCTTGGCGATTATAATTTTCCAGGTGCCGAAGTAGAAGGAGGAGCCGCTGCGACAGGGGCAGCGCAGGAGGTGGTGGTGAACGATGAGCCAGACGGATCAGCAGAAGCAGGAGCAAGATAAGAGCATGGACAAGAAGGAGATAGCCGAGGAGGAGGAGAGGGAGAAGATGCTCAACGCGGAGAACATGAAGCACTCGGGAGCGGCGCCTGCCCAGGATCTCGAGGTCGACGAGCACAAGCCCAAGAGGAAAATACCCGTCGGTGGGATCAAGATGCCCGGTTTTTGCCGATCCAAGAGCAAGGAGCCCTGCAAGGTACTTACTCACATACAATATTATATATATATACCCTACATACTTTTTATGCTTTTTATATTTTATTCATATACGTACTAAGCATAGGTATAGTAGGGTGCCCTTATAAGTTTATCATCACATGTGGCTACTATGCGCATACACCCAAGGTGTATGTAGCAAAAGAGTGGAGTACCGCTACCACACACATAGCATGTATAAAACCGGATGCGGCTACTCTGCTCTCCTTTTTGCTTGCTCTCGAGCTATTTTTTACGATGATTTCACGATCGCGGACCCTTTTTTTCTTTCCCCCCTTACCTTACCTGTACCACGAGTATTGTATACTCGACGAAGTTGTGCAATGTCACTACACCGATGCTAAAGTGTAGTGGTTTCGCTGTCGTTGCAATGTCTTTCAGGGAGAGTGCAACTAAGTGTGTATTATATATGTATATAAATTCGAGAGAAAAGAAAAGTTAAATTAAAAAGAAGAATCACACACTTGCTTTGGCTGAAACAATCAAAACGTGACAAGGTAAGAATACACGTGTAGTACAAATACAAATTGTATGCACCGCGTGAGATGTAAGATATATAGAGGCGAATGGATATACATTGTATACTCCTCCCTCCCTCTCTCTCTCTCTCTTTGACACTGTTCCCATGGCAATGGCACACAAGATGACAACAAAAATACACGTAAAAGCAAGTGCAAAACTTACCCCCTTTTCGTACCGCTAGAGCCGATTGCTAATCATAATTGCCTAAACCGACGTGCCCATTTTGCCCCAACGACGGCGACGCACATTGTTACTTCTGCATACATGTACTCATTCTCTTTTGTATATATATGTGCGGCACTTTTTTTTTTCATACATTCGCGCTTGCCACACACCGGGTGCCCAGCGTAGCGTAACTCGTACTTGCCTATATATACATAATATACTAATAGCCGGCGTGGCCGTGTGAACTGCACACGCAGGGCCTCATTATTCTCTGACGTCACACCCGCAGCCACACCTGGCACTTGCTCACATACACCTCCTTTTTTTTTTTTTCTTCTTCTCATATTGAACGTTTTACATGTATAGCAATCCATATGTTATCGAATGGCCGCGAGAAAAAAAAGAAGAAATAATAAAATAAAAAAACCAATTCCTCAATTCTATATGCTTGACGAAGAAAAAAAAAAAAAAAAAAAAAAGGTGAGGTGCGAGAGTAGAAAAGTCGTTGCTCAACGAGCGCGCGATTTCATACTTCACGCTCAGCGTAGCGGGGAACTCTTACGTGCGCGCCCGTTTTCCGATACGTAACAGAGGTATTTGCGCATAATATGTATACCTACGGGGCATGAGGAGATTCGATATGTATATAATGTATCGGCGACACTTATTAAGACGTCGTGGATAGGAACACGTAGAGAGGGAGCGAGTTCTCTGGTTTCGCACCCGATGGGTCCGAAGCTCCGCGGCTAGCTGATACGTTGAGCGTGGCATCGCCTCGGCGAACGAGCGCAATCGAGAGTACAAGTGCGGAAAATCTTCCGTATACCATGCCTATACGTATATGTATATCAGTCGGTCAGAGTGAGACTACTGTTGAGATTAAATGACTCACTCTGCAGCCAACGGTATCTCTCTTTCCCTCTGGGACTCGACACCGCAGCTTATACGTTTGAAGGGGTCACTTGAAGCCTTTAATACAGCTTTTTGTAAGTATTTATTATCTTGCTCAAATGATTACAGCTATTGGGTATGACTTGTTTTCACTCAAAATTCAAAGTTAGTCACTATAAATTAGTCTCAAGATGCGTATAGCTAAGCTGTTCTGTTGCAATGTCTGGTGTGTTATTATTTGTATTGTAAAAGTAATTTGCCATTCGGATCATTGATCCTTGGCATAAATAAATTTTGATTTAAATCTAAATAAAATCTCTTTTCTCACCTCGCGTGTAGTTGCACACAGAGGGAGGCTGAAGAAAATCCAGTCCACGGTCGCTTTATTCCCGGCACACGAAAACTTTTGTTTATCAGCCGCGGCACGCCCAAAGTAGAGAGAGAGAGAGAGAGGGGCCGTCTGATAATAGAGCCAATCTTTCCCCTCTCCTCCGGTGCTCAATTCTCCTGGTATGATACTCGGGCGCCTCTCGCTCTCGACTTCCTCAGCCGCAAACTTTCCCGCCCTCCCGCGACCATCGCCCGCGAATGGGTGTGTATCGCGATAGCCCAACGGCCGGATTTCACGCGATCCTTATCGAGCGCGCCGGGAGGAAAAGTGCGAGAAAGCCCTTCCTTTGTTTCTGCGGGCCTCCACACAATACAATATATATTATACACACCTACATACCTGCATCGAAAGACAATACGGAAGTGCATTCGTGTCTCATTGTTTATACGTATGTACGTGTGGTGCGCGGAAAAACTTTCTCGGCCCGCGGGGGCTAGCCGATTCGGGTGATGTATGTATATTGCGCATTTTTTATTTAGTGGACTGGTTTTGCAAATTTCTCTCCCTTTTGTCCGCGTTGCTTTTGTATAAGTTCGGGCTTTGGAAACCAACGAGGTGTCGATGGTTAAAAATCGAGTGGTGTGGGTGTAAAATGGGTCGAAGGAAAAGAGAAGCCGTATTTTTTTATTAAAATTTTATAAGAATGGGTATCATACATTGTGAGTACAGAGTAACATAGGTGTAATATAAGCACGGAGAGAGAAAAAGAGTTCGGCTAGCGCGTTCGTCGACATCGTTCCGTTTAACGCACGGTTGGCCATCATCGCCGCGCAGGGGGCAGAGACACGCACACACACACACGCCGTCAGGGGAAGCGCACCGAGCTTGATTCCGCCTCTCCTTTTGTCCAACCGCGCTCTCTTGTATTATAATATATATCTCTATACCAATACCATATACAACGTGGTACCTACCTGTATAATATATGTATGTGTGTAAGCACCGTACTTGTGTACACTTTAACTACGTGGTCCCTTATTTCGTTCCCTCCTCTGCGTGGCCACGTTTTTTCATTTTTTTTCGTACAGTCATCTGGTACGCGTAGGACGACGCTGGAATTATATTAGGTTTCCGCTTGGACTTCCTATCCCATGATATTATAGTCTCCACTGGAGGCGTTTTTCAATAGCTACCCTCTCTTTTGTCGTGCTTACAATATATAGTTGCACGTGTGGTTGTGCAACGCCAGTGCGTGTATTAATAGAGGAAAAAAATGACGGCTATAATTGATAAGGTTCTTCTTTTTTTTTTCTTCCGTGCGAAAAATTTCCAAATCCTCGAAAATACTTGTATCGAGCGGCACCTACTTACAAATATTACACGGCAAACTTAGTTTCTTACGAGCGCTACACCCTTCAATTTGTCCGACAAAATGCGGCTGGAAAATAGCAATTCCAGCCCCCCCCCCCTTGTCCTGTCGCAAATGGATCTCCGGCACTTAACTGTGCAAGACACGGCGGGAAAAGTTTTGCTGGACGAACGAAGTAAGTGTACAGGAGCCAGGGTGTGGGGTTGCACCACCGAGTAATAAAGTCGTTTTCCCGGGTAATTTTTTCCCTCGCTCGAAGACCCTATATCCACGGGCACTTCCAAGTACGTAACGCCTATCGTTCGTCATTTTCTCTAAAGAGAGAGAGATAGGTGGGGCAGGGGGGAACTGTCATTTTACGACTCTCGTCGGGGAAAACAACGGTAGTGGTAATGGAATCCGTTCGCTCGTCTATATAAGTATGTATATTATGTGTGTATGTATGTATATACATTTGCTGGAAATTTTTCGCAATCCGCTGCGCCACACGGATATATACTATGTGGACTTGAGCTCTTTGTGCCCCCGAGACGACGTATACTCCCTATGAGAAGAGAGAGCGCGTGTATTCAAGGACGCATGTATATATATATATACGTACAGGCGTGCTACCCTGTACCTCTGTAACAGACGTACACGTATAGGTAGGTACGTAGGTGTATATATATTATACCTTAAAGATCTCGCACTGATCTTTCCCTTCCTCCTCTCTCTTTCTCTCCTCTTTCCAGCACTAAAAGTTCCTCCGACGACGGCGAATACAGTGTATATGTACATACCTACACGATACTCGGCACCACCGGCTTATATATTATATGGTGTGTGTGTGTGTGTGTTTGTGTATGTATATACATACGCTCCTCTTTCCTGCTGTGCGTGTATAGGATAAAATCCTCGAATGCTATATACATAATGGGCCAGAGAGGAACAAAGGACCCATCCACTTCTCTCTTTCGTTTTCTCGTGAAACTATACGGCTTTCGCCCTCTCCCATATCCCTGCAGGCTAAAGGTGGTATATACTTTGTACACCTATACACTAAAGGGGCAACTTTGTCCTTTCCGAGCTGTTGCTGCCACTGCCTGGTATATATATATATACTTGTATGTATTGTAGGCTCTGCTGCGATCAGCCGCTGTATAGCTCTTTGGCCGATACTGGATCGGGGCATTTCCGACTCGTTTGACAGACTGTGCGTGTGCCGAGCTCTTAACTCTATAGGATTGCAGCATCATGAACTTGGGTCGGCTCTGTGTGCCCCCTCCCCTTCTCCTGATAATCCTTTTTTTGTTTTTCTGCAGTCAGGGGTTTTCCCCTTTTTCTTCTCTGTACGTGGATAATTTCAAAAAATCCGATATTCTATGATCAGTGTGCAATTGAAAAGGACAAAAAAAAAATGGAAATGGAAGAAGGCAAAAACTGCATGCACTGCAGTATAGCGCGAAGTCAATAACCAGGTCAATTTACAACTATTTCATCGTAACGGTACAATTCTATTATTAGCTTTTCTCTCTCTCTAGATATACCTGTAGATGTATATGTATAATGTGGTGCTTGCGGTAATTATTCGGTCGAGCGCGTTTTAACGAAATTTCACGCCAACCCGCTATCAAGTGATTACACAGGTATAGTTCATCATGACCATGTTCCCCCTATATATATACAATATAAGTACACAGGTACGCTTATATTTTTGCTCAAA